TCAGCCATGTTAATTGTCGGCCTATGGAATCGACCGCAGGAGTGGTTCAAGTCGTCTGGGGTCTGCTCATATATGATCTGGTGTGGAGTGGGACGCGTATCGACAACTCAAGAAAGATTAACACTTAGTTATTTACAGGCCATAATAAAAGATAATTTGAGTCTGTATTTTGTATTTATGTGAACATTTATATGAGTCTAAAGTAAAAGATGTGGAACCCTGTGTTTTAAGCAAAAAAAAACCCAAAAGTTAAAAACCCGAAAAGTAAACATCTTGAATTTATAGATAAATTTGTGGGGGATAAAATTGAATAAAGAACCCCTCTATTAAAAAAGTGATAAAGAAAGGAAATATGACACTTTTTTATCTTTATCAATTTTAAATCAGCACAAAAAGTATACAACTTTAGTGCAACAACAAAGATTCAGTGCTAATAGTTGAAACATCAGGGTGCAAAAAGTTTACGTCAGCATAATAATCAATTTTCAAATGGATTGGTAGATTGACGCAAACTTTTTATGATATTATTTTCCAAAGTGGGAACGCGAGTGCCGAGAGTTGTGACTTTGGATTATTTTGACGCGGTTTATTTAAATAATTTCGGAATCTGAAGAAGCTTAATTTGGAGGCAATTGGGAGACCGTTAGCTGGTTGTGGGCTGGCTCATATGTTACGTGGGCTGGATTGGGGCCCACATGAAACTACCTTATTTGCTACCGTATAAGGTTGGTGTTTGTGGGTCAAGATTCTTCTGCATCCAGATTCGGATATGATTTAATTTTTTTTCAGTAGTTTATGTGTTTGACAGAATCCATTAATTTATGTACTGTTCGGATAGTATATTTCCACCGACTCCATTCAATACATCACCATTAATGTAAAGATATTATTATTTAAAAAAAAGCAAAACTAGAATAAATTTAAGTGAATATGAGTTTTTTTTTTTTTTGAAATTCATGCTACATATCAATATTATATTTGAGACGTACGTCGTGATATGTATCACATGCTAGTACTAAATCTTAAAGAAATATCAACGAGTAAAAAAATTAATGCAAAAGGACTCCTATCAATATAAGTTTACAAGAGCTTTACTCTTCCTACCCCAAAAGATTCCGTTGACCATGTACATAAAATAGGGATTATAAAAATGCTAGACTAATTAGCATAAAACTTGGCCCATGAGCGTTAAATGGGAAAGTTTAGGACATAATTCTCACATTTGCATTAGATAAAATATTACAATGCAACATTTAGAAACTTCAGGGTACGTAAGTGCTACAAAAAACAAGCGAGTGTATATAAGTACAAGGTGGGGGTAACTATAAGGTATTTAAGTGATAATAAGCCAAAATATTAAGATGCAAAGCCTAGCTAGTTCGAGGTTGGTAATTTATATTTTCTAATAAAGAGACTTAACCATGGTTTTGGACTAATCAAAGGTCTTAATTAAGACCTTCTTTGTTCCAAGAATTTTCCGTGTTCGTTGAGATTTTTGACGACGATAAAGGCGGTCGAGGCCGGCATCAAGTCTTTTGAAATTTTGTACGGCACCAAGTCTATGTATTACGCGCGCGCGCACAGAGAGAGAGAGAGGGTTGGGAAGTGAACAAAAAGATGGAGACAGTCAATTTGTGTTTGCTAATTACTCCCTTTTTATTCACATATTTCTTAGATTTCCTAAACATAGAGTATTAGGTTACTTAGGGCCTGTTCGGTTATTTCCCAGGAAAAAAAAGAAATAGGAAATGTACCATGAAAACCAATTGTTTGCATTTCCACAAGGTTTCTCAGTTTTGAATTTTTATGTTCGTTTCACAGGGAAATCAGAGGATTGAAATCATAGTTCACATTTTTTCAGTTCGGTTATCACTAATGTAAATGAAGAAATCTCCTGACTTTTCCCCCATTTCTTACATTTCACATGTTCGGGTAGCACAAACTCAAATTTGAGGAAACCATAGGTGTTGTTCACTCGGTGAGAATACCTCCCCTGCTCATCTGAGGGGCCATCCAACGGAACATTTTCAGCAACGGTCAAAAATTGACCGTTGGTATTTTGGCAACAGTACACAGGATCAAATTCTCTCCCGTCGGTATTTTGGCAACGGTAAAATTTGATCAAGCACCCTGCACTTATATAGCTGGTATATGAGAGATAAGAAATAGCACCGTAAAACCTCCTCATCAGACTTTCCCAGCGAACATTTCAACAAAACCTGGGAAGATACTTGAGCATATAGAGGATAAAATCTGCTTCACATGGAATCAAGTCAACTCTCTCAAGAGGTAGCTGCAGAGGTAACTTGCTACTGTAACATACCGACGCCTCTAAAGCTTTGCAAAACAGGAGTAAACAAGGACAAATACTTTTGGGGCTGCGCCAACTATCCACATAGGCAATGCCAGTTTTTTAGATGGGCAGAAGAGCATCCAGATAAGAAAAAGTGCAAGGTAAATTGGGATTGTGCCTCTCCGCAATCAGTTTCCCAAAATAAAGATGTGGAAACAAAGCTCTTGCGAAGAGAATTGAAGCTTGCAAACCAACAAGTTGATTACTTGAAGAAATGTATTGTTGCTTTAGGAATAATTTGTATTTTCCTTGTTGTCATAAACATTGTAATATGCTCTTTGAAAATGTAATGTAGAAATCTGCATAGAATGCATGGACTCATGTGTAAAATCTGAGTTCAAATGCACAACTGAAAATGCTTGATATGAAATTGCTGTTGCAATTCCCAACGCAAAAATAGGTAAAAATATATGGACTACATATAATCCAATGGCACTTGTTACATGCCAAAAACTGAGATTGGCATAACAGGTAAGAAATGGAAATGTGTTAATTCTCATCAGACATGATAGCAATGACGTCCGTGCATATCATGTAAATTAATTGCAAAACACTAACCCCATTGGCAATTGTGAAATGCCAAAAAAATGAAAATGTCATAGCAGGTAAGGAAAAAGAAGTTCGTATTTTGGTCAGACATGATATCAATGAAAGCTTGACAAACAAAGTTATATATTTCAAAGTGTTTCTACTCATAAGGCCCCACCATCATGATGAAAATGGTAAGGTATTATCCAACAGTGAGAATCAATTATAAAAATTGTCAAAATGTGCTCAGATATAAGTCTCAATCATCATGTATCCCCCATCAGTTAACAAGTACATCACAATGTTGGATGCATTCCTATACAATTTACTCAATATCTGATCAGGTGACTATTTAGATTGCCGCGCCAAAACATTGCATGTACTATCTACTGGTGCTGAATATCAGGTTAGAGACAGTCATCATTGCACCCGGAAGTCATGCATAAACAAACTGCCCAAAAACCAGTGCTCAGAATGTTCATGAACAAACAGGTATGCAAGTACAACGTGCAAATAACAACTTAAGGCCGCAATTACCGTTGAATGCATGTGACCAACAAGTTCATGCCTCGCCTTGACATTGTTAAGATACGTGTGAGTGCATATTAAATTTGCATGACCTCGTCATAGCACCTTTTAATTAAAATGCAACTAGAGGCAGCTTGTCATACCAGTATGTTGACGCGATTGCATGGGACACATCATCACAGTTGCAATAAACCAACGTACACTTGAAATTATGTAAAATAAGCAATGTCACTTGAAGTAAGATGTGGAAAAACTACAGGAACTGAAGCAATGTCATCAACATACATACGGATGCATCATATAACACAAATGTAGCCACAAAACGACGTAGCATGAGGAATATACAGGCATACCCAGTTCTTACAAAATAACAACGTCATTGTTAGGCCAAAAGTACCAAACTGCATATATGTCCCACACATAACCTGAACGATCATATATATAACAATAGTTAAAGAAAGGACCGATGAACAAGTCTGATAGCTTGCACGACCGGCACAGTGTCCGATCAAACTTTGTACCTGAATTGTCAAACTAGCTACCCCCATCTTGCATTTTCTTGAAATTTTCCAACAAAGATCTCTGGCCGAAGTCAGTCTTACCTATAAAATGCCGGGCCTTGGTTTCATCCTCAAAAATGTGGTCATAAAAAAGCTCTAGGAACTCTATTGCGTACGTATCCTTGTGCTTGAAGATAGCATTGGACAATTTCTCTGTCCAGTGTAGATTAATAAGATTTATAGAATGAGAGAAATGTTTAACTTCATCAATCATTTGTTGCATGATATCTTTCTCGTTTGGGGCCTTCCTCCCCCTCCTTTTAGCCGAAGGGATTACCTTCAGTTTGCCCTTACTGGTTGACCAGACATTGTTGTTTTCAGATTGATTATCTTCATCTACTACGTTGTCTGAGCGAGGGGACTTTTGGGTCATAGGAATGCTAACATCCTCGTCGTCATCACCTGTAAGATTAATCGGCTCCTGACCCCCAAACTTCTCCATTAGCAAAGTTACCTGTTGCTTGATCATCCCCACATATGATTGCTAGGTTCTCATAGTGCTTCAGAGGCTTATTAATGTAATATTTAAGCTTGCTCTTATTTTTGTCCTGCACGCATCAATATTCATAATTTGACCAAAGTGTAGAATGAAGTTACCAAAGCATGAAAATACGTATTTTGGATATTGTTTACCTCGTTCCATGTATCGAAACTCTCGGGATCCAACAGGATCGTTTGAGTCTCTTCATCCCAACCCGCACCACTAATGTTACGAGCGGTCTGCATGTCTTGAAACCAAGATCGGATTGTTTTCATATGGTTTACAACACTTTTCGTTTGAAAGCAAGTACCAAACTGCTTGTTCACTTCAGCCGCTGCCATAGCAAATGCATGTTGCTTAAAGTTTTTGTCTGGTTTAAGACCAGACTTGGCCAAATTAGCGAGGAAGGGTATGAGCACGTCATCATGTGCAGGGGTCCACCATCTGGTGGGGCCAACTTTTGTGGCTCCACTCTCAACTTGGTTTTTTCTTCTCTTATGGACAACGGATTTGCTTTTTTTTGGTGAACAAATAGAAGTTGCTACTGCCTCATCCCTGTCAATTCGTTTCTTGTTTCCTGAATCAGAATTAGTCCCTGTAATACTAGCTGGAGAATGAATTTGACCGGAAGAATTGGAGCCTTGCAAATTTTGAGGCAAAGGTGGTGTACTACCGAGCATGTGCATGTAAGATGAAATGGGGTGATGCATAGTGAAGAAGTTACCATCGTAGTTCCCCACACTTGGAAAACCTGAAGGTGAGTGAGCGAAGGGTAAGGATGACTGGAACATGGGGTTGATACTGTGGGGAAAGCCAATGCTTGCAGGGAACGCATGTGATGTTGGGGGGGCCATTGAATTTGTGGAGTGAGTGGAGGTCACCTCTTTGCCGAAATAATTCTGTTCGGAGGATGATCTTTCACCCATTTCCTATCTTTCAGCAAATTCAGTAATGACAAAGTGCAAACTATCCAATTATTGCAACAGATCAGATAACAACGTCAGAATATTACTAATCTCATATGTAGTAGATGAAATTGCATGCATGTAGCAAGAAAGCTAACATCTAATATATTACCCATTCGTTTCTTACCCCAAATGTCATAGCAAGCTATTTATAGATATAATTTTGCGTAAAATAATAATATTGCGATGAGAATAATGTAACAGGTTGCCCCCAATCTGATAAATAACAAACATATGACTACCATTCAAATGGTAGAACTGCAACATAAACTACGTGCATCTTAAATAGATAACGTCGCACAACAGTATTTTAGTCTGCAAGACTTCTCATTAATAATTTACATGACCAAATAACTTAAAATACGTAAAAAAAACCTCAGGACTACCATAGCCAATCACAAGGCAGACTCGTGAGTGTCACCATGCCGATATCTCCTACAGTAATCTGTCCACATGTCCAATGCAATTTCATCTCTCCGAGACCTCCACTCATCCTTTGAGCTATTTTGTTCTCTTACTGTTTGGGATTGTGTGAAATCCATAACGTTGGTGTCTTCAGAAATTTCCTCGGCCACGTCCTCTTCTTCAATGTCAATTGTCTCATTGAGTAATTCATCTTCGGGATCGACAGTTGTAATGTAGTTATGGAGAACAGTGCAAGCCAGAACGATGTCAACTTGTGTGGGGAAAGGGTAGTGGGGTTTCGCAGTGAGAATCTTGAAACGATTCTTCAATATACCAAAGGTAGCTTCAATCTTTGACCTCAAAGATGAATGTCTAAGATTGAATAGCTCCCTCCTATTTTGAGGTGTTCTTCCCATAAATTCCTTTAGATGATAACGAACACCACGATATGGGGATATGAAACCTGGCTGGGTTGTGTAGCCCGCATCACACAAGTAATATTTTCCTACATATTACACACTATTTTAATAAGATTTGTATAACGTAATAATTTGTGAGGGATCACATTTTGAGTTAACAAGAATTTTACCAATGTACACCCGTAAGCCATATGGTTGTGGTCTAGACAGAGCATCTTGAAGGATTCTATAGTCGTTAGCCGACCCCTCCCACCCAGCTAAAACATAAGTGAACTGTTTGTTTGGTGTACAAGCCGCGAGAATATTTTGTGTGACACCTTTGCGCCCTCTGAAACACGAAACAATTGCAGCAGGTAGCATAGCATCCACATGTGTCCCATCTATCATACCTATGCAATCCTATGGAATACAACTTACTGTGTTAGCGTATTTTATGATGTGGTTAGATAATTACTTAGGAAAAATGGTAGAGTGGATTATATACCTTGAAAAACGGGTAAAATGATGGGTTGCTTAGGATCTCTTGAGGTACTTCATTCGGAGCTTGTTTCATAAATCGACCTTGTATGCCCGAAATAGCCTGCAATACTCTATTGAAGTACTTACTGATTGTATCCCCTGACCTTATGAATTGTGTTCTCATCATACGATTTTTGGATTTATGTCCCAAAATATTCAAAGTTATGGCAAGTTGCTCCTCTACAGTTATATTCCTTGAGTCCTTTAAGAGTTGTTGTTTCCTCATTAACGATGCTAGTTTCATAAATGCACCCGGCCTCATTCTAACAAAGTTTTGACAGCTATCACTATAACCGTGAAATATACGACGCATCAATTCAGCCCTAGATCTTTCCCTCTGCAACTTCTCATCACTTGGGGCAGACCGTATTGATCTACGTCGACATTTAATTCTCCTAAAAAATATGAAAATTATAACCATGACTGAAAATGTAGCCCCAACACACATTCTTTTGACAGCCTCTTCATCATCAAAATCACCATCCATCTACAATATTAAGTTATGAGTTAAAATATGTAAGTAAAAATCAAAACACAAACTGTCAACTATCAGATCTGTTCTACATCACCATATTATCAAATCTGTTCTACATCACGCTTACATAACAGATAAAAGTATTAAAACACTCGTGCAAATACGTCGTACTACGCAACAGTTTTGATAAGCTTAACTAAAACTCAAGACTAATAGTTAGGATTTAAGATCATCAAAATCCGACAAATTGGGCCTTTCATATGCTTAAAAAGCTGATAACAAACAGGGGCCAAAAGTCGGTGCGGGGATTAGAGATAATTATCTTACAAACTGCAGTTGCAATGGACACTAAAAACCCATACATTCCAAGGTTGATTTGAAGAGGATAAAAGCGCAAAAAGTGATGCATGTTACTAATTTTTAACACAAATTTGATCTTTGATGAAGGGATACCTTAAGGACAAAGTTGATCGAGATTTTGGGCCGTCGCAGTTGATGGAATCCCTGTATATGCACTAAATCTGAAGCATCTCCTCAGATCTGACTCATCTGCTCAAGCGGAAGGTGATGAGAAGTACAAATCAACCAATAAACCCACCGTTGCTGCAATAACCAGGCTAAGATACCACAATCAGCCCATGAATGATCGTTAAGGGCTTTCTTCCCAGTTTTCTCAAGGATCAAGTATATAAAATTTAGAGTCATGCATAGGAGACGGTAAGAGGCGGAGCAATAGGGAAGAATGAAGAGAACGAAGAGGCGGTGATGGGAACCCTAAACATTTCCCAGCTCGTTCTTGCCGTCGCCTCGAAAAACACCCGATTATAATTTTTTAATGGGCGTGAGTGGAGATTTCGGGTGTTTTCACGCCCAAAGGGGCTGAAAACGCCTGCGCGTAAAGTCCGACGTGGCTTGAGATTTCAAGCCTCCATTTCTCTAAATCAGAGGGCGAAACGAACAGGTACAATTGAAATCTCCCGAAAACCGTTTCCTATGTGACACACAGTTTTGATTTCCTTTCCCTGATTTCACCGATATTTTGGGCCAAACGAACAGGCCCTTATTGGAAAATGATAGATGTAAAAAGTGTTGATAGTGACATCTGAGGCACCTAAAGTGTTATATATAGTATTGTTAGGGTATCTACTCTCTTTTTTTAGTCCCACATCAATTATGATTTTAGAATGCTTACTCTTACTCTTGTATTTAAGCAGTTCATAAAACAAGTCTCTTCTTTTCCCTAAGGGGCCGTTTGGTTGGTTTCCTAAAAACCAAGAAAAGGAAATCGGTACAAGGAAACCAATAAAATAATATTTTTATCCATTTACATCCCTAAAACTCACTCACAACATCCAATAAAATAATATTTTTATCCTCCAACTCATCTCATTTCATCTCATTTCTTACCTTTAGGGGCTGTTTGTTTGCCTAAAAAAAGAGGGAAATCAAAGAAAAGGAAACATATTTCTAAGAAAAATAGGTTTTGAGATTGTTTGGTTGGCTAAAAAAAGAAGGAAATCAAAGAAATTGAGATGAGATGAGATGAGTTGTCACCTTATTATAGGATGATGTGAGTGATTTTTTAAGAAAACTTGTTTTGATGTTGTTTGGTTGGCGAAAAAAATAAGGAAATGAATTATAAGAAACATATTTCTTGTAATAGGTTGTTTTCTTTTGTTTGGTTATTTCTTAAAAATAAGAAAATAGATGAGATGAGATGAGTTGTCATTATATTATTGGATGATGTAACTCATACTTAAGAAAATCAATTTCCTTGTTTTTTGGAGGAAATTGGTGGAGATGAAATGTTAATGAGATGAGATGAGTTGTCACAATCTTATTGGATGATGTGAGTGATTTTTAAATATGAGATGAGATGAGTTGAGTGATGTTGTGGATAAAAATAATATTTTATTAGATGTGGTGGATGTGATGAATGAGTTGTTGGATGAAAATAATATTTTATTAGATGTGGTAGATGAGTTGTTGGATAAAAATAATATTTTATTAGATGTTGTGGGTGAGTTTTAGGGATGGAAATGTGTGAAATTATACTTTTTTGAGATTTCTTGGTTTTTATTTCTATTTTTTGGTTTTTAGGAAATAACCAAACAGGCCCTTAAAAATAAACCAAACACAAGAAATGTGTCACATCATCCAACTCATCACATCTCATGTTATCTCATTTTTAAAAATCACACACATCATCCAATAATATTGTGACAACTCATCTCATCTCATTAAACCCCCCCCCCCCCCCTTTCCCCAAAAAAAAAAAAAAAAAAACAAGAAATTGTTTTCCTTAAGTATGTGTCACATCATCCAATAATATACCTCCAACTCATCTCATCTCATCTATTTTCTTATTTTTAAAAATGAACCAAACACAAACAATCTCAAAACATCATCCAATAATATACCTCCAATTCATTTCCTTATTTTTTTAACCAACCAAACAACCTCAAAACAATTTTTTTTTTTTAAAAATCACTCACATCATCCAATAATAAGGTGATAACTCATCTCATCTCATCTCCTATTCTATAGTTTTCTTCTTTTTTAAGCCAACCAAACAACCTCAAAACAATTATTATAGGAAATAGGTTTCCTATTCTTTGATTTCCCAATTTTTTTTTGCGAAACGAACAACCCCTAAGTCTCTTTTCTCCCAAAAGCTCTATTCTTAATATGGTATCAAGTCATCCTCTTAATCCCAGAGAGACATCTTTCTTCTTCCTCTAGATCGAGTTACCGAGGGGGTTTTTGCTGAAAACTTCGTGCTTCCCCTCAACGGCTCGACACCAGATTCAACCTTGACGCGCCGCCATATCGCTCACAACCTCTCATCGTTCTTTGCTCATTGCAAAACCCTAACCCTAACCCTTACCGGACCACACTATTCATTACTGTTCATCTAGGGTACTGTTTACTCGCTGACTATTTGAGTTACTATTCATCTTGAACCTCGCTGCTTCAGCACTAACTTCGACATCAACCTCTTCTTGGCCGCCACTATTGCCAAGGATAACCCTCATCGTCGTCGATCAGCTTAATGGTTGTCATCATCCTTGCGGCTTTAACTATCATCCAATCCCTATTGTTGCAAACTCTCGCCTTGCGAAACCCTAACAGTTCCTCCACTACAAACCTCTGCCTGCCAACACTATCGCTTCTCTGATTTGTGTAATTGCACAAACTATTCATCGCATGCGTACAAGGTGTTCGATAAATTACCTTAGCGAGATTTCTCGTTCCTTAGCTAGCCACTGGCCAAGCTCTCTCCAGCCAAGTATTTTCCATTCACCGATGCTTGCAAGATCCAATTACCATGCCTCCTCTCGCGACCATCGTGCGTGACTGCCGATCAATGCTGCAACATCATACCTCGCCGCTTGCAAGATCCAGTCACCGCGCCTTCTCCCTCGACTGTAGGTCCACCGTCTCACAACCCTGGTGCATGACTGTCGATCACTACTACAATAACATGATTTTACTACCTGCAATTCCAGCCACCGATATGCTCCAATTTAACCACCTCTCGTCAAGCCATACCAACAACTCATCTTATCCAAATTCACGGTTCTCTACCAACATTGAATTTGGCAGGAGTGTTAGATATAGTATTATTAGAGTATCTACTTTCCTTTATTTTAGTCTCACATCGATTAGGATTCTAGAACCCCTCCTCTTACTTTCGTATTTAAGCAATTCAATGCAAAAAATAAAATAAATATCTTCTCTTCCCTAAGTCTCTTTACTCCCAAAATCTCTATTCTTAACATTAACGAACAATTAGTTGTTAGTTACATTTCTCATAACATTTCTCACAAATATTCCTTTTTTTAACCCTCGCTCGAAATCGAACCCAAGACCATGGGAGTCATATTAGAACCTCCCAACCATCTGGGTCACCCATGATGGGTTCACTTCTCACAAGATTCTAATTTGTATATTTCTTGATTCTTCTAAGTACAATATCTAGAAATTTTCCATCCTTTATCTTTTCTGTGTTTCTTCCAATTTGTATACATTACTCAGTAACTTATAAATTGTATCTACTGAATTACATAGGCGGTAACTGTTAAATTTACCCCGCTAACACTAACCCTTATTTAACCATCTAGCCCTTAGAGTGAAACTTTGATCAATAGAAGCAAGACTATAAATCTACAATTCGCGATCAACAGTCCAAACAGATTTGTGCCGCATCCATCTGCGATCAACTTGTAACAGAGGAATCTCGCAAGTTGCAATTACAGAAGCAGAGAGCGGGATGGACTTCAGAATTTGGGAGAAATATTGATCGATAAGAATTTAGAAATTGGGTAATGCGTTTTGGATTAAAGGGTAAGTTTCACTAGTTTGAATGTTTATGTCCAAAAATCTACAACGTTGGGGCCAAAGTGGGGCAAGTTGATATTTTGGATCTAATCCTAAATATATTTTTCTACGGGGTTGTGGGGACAATTAATCCCACTAATGACTTACCCATTTGTTGATCTGTCCCTGTTATTTTTAACATTAACCCTTGAACCCTAGCCCTAACCCACCACAATTGGCTTGTTTGGTAGCTCACCAACTAACTTAGGTAAGGGCACTAACTTAGATAAATGCTTAAAATGTATTTGGTAAAAACCTAAACATATATTTGACTAGTTTTTTAGTTCATAAAAAAGACCCTTATTTAGGTATCTTTAGACCTAGGGGTGTCTAACTGGTTGGCCCGGCCCGGTCTGGAAAACCAGGTCCGGGCTGGGTAAAAAGGGGTACCCGGACCTGGCACGGCCCTGTTTATTTTCAAAAATTTTGTAAAAAATGAAATTTCAAGAGTAATTAAAAATAAAATATGCAAAATTTTGATAAAAAATCAATCATATTATTAATCAATTTTACTTATACAATTTACAAATAAAAATATTATAGAAATTAAAAAAAATATTTATTATTAAATCACTAACAATTACATATTTTTTATAATTTATCGCATCACAATAGATAAATACATCCTAACAAGGTTAGCACCTACTCATATATATCACTATCATTTGCAACTCTTTTCAAAATAAATTATCAAAAATTTATAGCTAAGAAATAAAAATTACAAATTAATGAGTAATTTGACTAATTTTTACCCTTTATCTCTATCTCCTATTGTCAACTCATTAAGTCTATCTTTAATACTAGCAATCCGATCGATACCCTGAGTTCTCTTCTAGGACCTCCACTAATCTTGTAGGCACCATTGCCGCCTGTATAGTAGATAGATCTAGCGATATTCTTTGGTTGTCGATCAAACGTCCTGATGTGCTGAAGGTGAATTATGAAACTACTATAGAAACTTGCACTGTTAGTAAGTCACGCATTATAATGGAAAGTATAAGATATGAAGCTGTTCCATATACTCTCCACCATTACAAAATATCGAAATTATTATTTTGAGCATTAACTAAAAGTACGGATAAATATTGTTCAATTTCAAAAAAAATTAATGATGATGATCTAGATCCAGATCCACACCTACCAGTTAGCCTCGCTATCATTAATTGCTTATCAAAACTCTTACATTTGCCCCTACTTGAACTCATAGAAGTAGAAGCTGTAGGTTGATGTGTACTTACACCAAATCTACCTGCATACTCCTCATATAATATTTGAAAATAATATTTAATAGTGGTATGATGAGTAAGAGCAGTAGCTGTCTGACCATCATCAGTGTCTATTATCATGTTTTCATACAAAGAATTTTAACAAATTTTGAAGACCAACATCCTTCAAACATGGATCGATAAGAATCATGTAGGCTGTCTAAAAATCACTACAGATAGCTTATCCCCATCAGACACCAATGATGGAAGTTACAACCTGACGACTTCCAGAAGACTACAATTTGAAGACTTTCACGTAGAAGGTTACAATCTGACGACCTTTACAACAACTAATGAAAGCTCTAATTCAACAGCCTTCACAATCAACATCGGGAGTTACAATCTGATGACTCTCATATTTTCAAGGAGCCAAGACGAAGGTTACAAGGTGACGATCTTTGCAACGCTCTAGCGAAAGAGACTACAAATTGACGGTCCCTTCATATTAAAACGCAGATATCTCTCAAACCGTAAGGAATTTGGCAAAACTGACGGAGCAAACCGAACCCTACAGGGGTTCGTTTGGTCGGCTCCGTCTCATCGAGATAGCCGATTTTCATATATAATTCGTCCAATTCCGACTTACGGTTTGAAAGTTATGACCTGTTCTTCGCAGCAAGTTATGTTCTGAAGTCAGTCTGCAAGACTGGACTTCGTCTGAACATTGGACTTAGCCTAAAGCTCGTCGAGCCCGCCTGAGACTCACCTCTTCATCCAAGATTCGAAACGCAGAGGTCATGCCCGCGTTCTAAACTCAAAACGCAAAGGTCGTGACCGCATTTGAGATTCAAAACGCAGAGGTCGTGGCTGCGTTCCAGATTCAAAACGCATAGGTCGTGGCTGCATTCCAAACTCGAAACGCAGAGGCCGTGGCTACGTTCCAGAGTCAAAACGCAGAGTTCGTGGACTTAAAACGCAGAGTCCATGCAGAACCCAACTCTGCATCTCAGGTCCAAAACGCAGAGTTCATCTCTGTGTTCCAACTCTGCGTCTCAGGTCTAAAACGCAGAGTTCATCTCTGTGTTCCAACTCTGCGTCTCAGGTCTAAAACACAGAGTTCAGGTCTAAAACGCAGAGTTCATCTCTGTATCCCAACTATGCATTTCAGATTTACAACGCATTGCGGCCTGTGCGTTCAGCCACCCAACATAGGCTCAACTCTGCGTTTTTAGTCTAAAACGCAGAGTTCGGGCCCAGAACGTCATTTTCGGCGTTTGACTCGTTCCAAACTTGGTGTGTTGGAGTTTTAGAATATGTAGATCAAGTTCAACGGAGCGGATCATCCATAATGTCGTTCAATTATGTGATTTTAGAGGCGTCATAGGAGGAAATCCTCTCCTATGACAAGGATACCCATTAATCTCTCTCTCAGTCTAAAACGCAGAGTTCGGGCCCAGAACGTCATTTTCGGCGTTTGACTCGTTCAAACACGAACCGAACGGTTCCAAGAACCGTTTTTCCCCCATGATTTGAGGGATTTCCACCCCACTTAGGAGCAGATTAAGGGGACAGTTACCACCCTTAATCCCCTATAAATATGTATGCAGGGAAAATTGCAAAGAAGAGAATAAAGAAAATTTGATTTTGATTCCTTTGATCTCGGTTACAACTTGATTACAAAAGAGAGGAAAACGAAATTGGTTCTTCCTCTTTGTTTAAAACTGGGTTCTTCACGGTGGCGATGGAGTGCCTCCCCCGAATGCTTGCATCGAGTTTGCTCTCCGTTGACGATCCGCACGTCTTGATTCACTGGAACAATGTCTTCTCCTCACGATTTGACGTTGTGGAGAACTTGCGTGGCAAGTTTAAAACTCTTGATGAGTTGATAACTCTGATCGAGTTTGAACTCTTGAAAAAGAGTTGATTTGAACCGAAGATCGGTTAATAGGCCAAGGATAAAAGCTGTTGCTGAAGTTGAAGATGATCTTCGTTGGAAGATGATGCCGATCTCCTCAAAAAACCTCTCTCCAGTGGTCGATCCAAGCCCAGAAAATCCAACCGAAAAAGGAGACCTTGAACTGAATTGATCTTCAGTTATTGCAGCGTTGGAATCTACGTCTGAGCTGCGTTTGTAGCGATTTGGAAGCTGCGTCTGGCGGCGATTTGAGCTGCGTTTGGCGGCGATTTGAGCTGCGTTTGGCAGCGATTTGAGCTGCGTCTGTCAGCGATTTGAGCTGCGTCTGGGTTGCGTTTGCAGCGATTTGGAAGCTGCGTTTGAGCTGCGTTCGTGGCTATGAACGCGGTGCGTCTTGATGCTGGTGTGCGGGGAGGACTTCCGCAGTTTGATTTGAAGAGACCGTCGATTTGTAGTCTCTTTCTGTCGAAGCGTTGCAAAGATCGTCATTTTGTAATCTTTACTTTAGCTCTTTGATATGCAAGAGTCGTCAGAT